TCATCCGAGCTGTCAAGAGCGCGACTATAGCTCCAACCGACCCCCAGGTGCGCGGACTCTGCCTCGCCCGACCTCTGGGGGTGGGCTCCGCCTTGCCTGACCTCTAGGGGGTGGGCTCTGCCTCGCCCGACCTCTGGGTCGGGGGCACCATCTCGTCTGATTCTGAGGCCTTGGGCTCTGCCTCGCCCGACCCATGGGTTTGTGCTCCGTCTCGACCGACCCCAGGTGCGCGGGCTCTGCCTCGCCCGACCTCTGGGGGCGGGCTCCGCCTCGCCCGACCCTGAGGCCGTGGGTTCCATCTCGCCCGACCCTGAGGCCATGGGCTCCGCCTCTCCTGTCCCTGAGGCCGCGGGCTCTGTCTCGCCCGACCCTTGGGTTTGTGCTCCGTCTCGCCCGACGAACACCCATACTGCCGCCAACCACTCTAGGTCCAAGCGTATGGGCCTGGGTCTAAACTCTGACACCAGAGTAGAGACTGGCATGCCTCGATGTAACGCGTGGCCATAACCGGCCATACCTGAGGGTTCACATTAAGAACAGCGTCGGGCGTGCCAGTGTTGTTCTGCCTAACCATCGTACGAACGATGACAGGCGCGTCAGTTCACCACGACGTCCGCCGGGACGGGATGGAACGCCATGACCGACAGAAAACGCCTGCGCATGGCGCCAGTGATGGGCGGGGCCACGACGTGGAGCTGTCCCTATTGACATCTATAGTATCGATGGGACCCGCATGAAGGAGAAGAAGGACCCAGTGTTCCTAGAAGCCTTCCTCTCTCGTTCTTCTCCTTTCCCTCCGCTGTAACCCGCGCTTTCCCTTGGCCTATAAAAGGGAAAGCAGAGCGCCCCATGAGGGGGGCGATCGATCTAGATCTAGAAACACACAAGAACACCATACGAACATACGGCTGAGCAGTGATCGAGCTCTCAGCACCCGTTCACTCCTTTCACCAGACACTTGGGATCCTTTCCCTCTCTCGCCTGTTTGTACCCCCTACTATAAACTTTTAGTGCTAGTAACACGAGCATCAGCGACGAACTGGACGTAGGGACTTTCTGCCCAAACTAGTATAAACCTCGTGTCCTCTAAGCACACCATCTGAGCCAGACGCGCAATACTAGAAATTTACTCGTCGGTGGTAACTCGAAACACCGACACGAGTCCAACTCATCGTAAATCCAACAAGTCCTTCAGATCAGGGTAACAACACCAACTACAAAGACTGGCTTAGCTTCAGCCTATGACTCCGAGTACAACTCAACCTAGGACTCAAACTCGACCTCGAACTCACCAACGACAGCAAATTGAAGTTCCACGAAGCGACCACACACCGCCGCCCTGCTGCGCCAAAGGGATAAGAGAAGAAAACACAAAGCAAATCAAAAGACGAGATTCACAAGAACTACAACTTCTGATAGAGAAATGGAGGAAGAACTCACCAACAACGGCGAATCAACGACGGAAAGACCGTTCTGACTCGGGTATGCCTCCGCCAGCGCCCAAAACTCAGCCACCTACTGCACCAAGGGATAAAAAGAAGAAAACACAGACCAAATCAACTCGAGAGCCAAAGGATCTACGACATCTGATCAAGAAATGGAGGAATAAGTCACCAACGACGGCGAATCACCGACGGAGAGGCCGCTCCGCCTCAGGTTCGCCTCCGCCACCGCCAGCGATGTGGGCGAGACGAAAGGGCAGGGGGAAACGAAATGAAAAGTTTAAAACAGTAAATACACACGTTTCCCAAAAAAAATGAGCTAACAAGTGGGCCAGATCGGCAGAGAGCAAAACGCAAATGGCCGACCGGGGGGGGGGGGTGAAGAAGGGCAGAGATCGCGCCAGAGCCAGATCCGATGGCCACAAAATTCGTGTGAGCCAAAGCAAAGAATCACACAAGCAAAATATAGCTTTTTCTGTTTTATTAAGGTATTTTTTTAACATATGTGCTAAAATTCAGTCATATGAGATCTCAGGCGATAGGTTCATGTACTGTCTGCCACTTTTTGTTGTTGAGTTGATTTGGCTAGCAACGTCGTCGGATCGTTAAAAAAAACAGGCACTTATACAATACTCTCTCCGTTCTAAATTATAATTTGTTTGACTTTTTTGACCCCAAATTTGACTGCTCGTCTTATTTAAAAATTTTGTGCAAACATAGTCAAATTTAAGTCATTTTCGAAGAACTTTTGTTAATAAAGTAAGCCACAACAAAAAAAGTAATATTTAGCATAAATTTTTAAATAAGACGAGTTGTCAAACTTGGGGTAAAAAAAGTCAAACGAACTATAATTTAGAAAGGATTTAGTAGCCTACTAGTATACCATACTAGTTGCAATAGCTAAATATGTTCTACATGTTGTGGAGCATGGCACCTGTGAGATCGGTGTCGTCTTCTAAATGTTTTGTTTACTTGTAGTCTGTTATGGATTCTCTAGGTCTCTATTTGATATAATATAGTGCAAAGTGATGATTTAAATAAGTAAAGAGAACGACTATGAGTAATAAATCACTAGAATAGGAGTAAATAAAACACCAATAACTTAAAATAGAGCATGAACCGATGGCTATACTTTTAGAAATGTTTTGGTACTGGTTTCATATTTTCTGAAGATGAATTAGTTATGATTTTTTTTGGAAACTAAACCAATCTCTATTATTTTCAAAAAAAAATATAAAACCATCTATGAAACTAGATGGTCAAATTTGTTCTGTATCGGTAATTTTGTGGTATAAAATTTCTGACTTTAGAGAGTTGCATGGCTAAATACAAAGTCAGCGGGCACTCAACAATTGTTGGACGGCCAATAATGGTATTTTTATTGGTGCCAATGAAAATCCAAAGGAGAGAAAAATGAGTTAGTACTTGCCAAAGAATGCACTCCTAATAACAAGATTCCTTATTTTAAATGACCATAGTAGTAGTACCTATTAATGGATTGGTGCTAACTGCTAAGAGAGGAGTAAATAAACAAGAACTTGGTAAAAGTGAGACTCCTTAGAAAAGTCATAGCCCTGGATCATGGATAACAGATGTAGCACAAGTTTCGTACGTGCTACAGTGGTTACTTTTCCTCCTTTTGACATACATCAGAAAAGCATTTGCGGGGGCCTATTTGGTGCTGCAGATAGATCCTGATCCTGTCGGTGAAATGTGAAAAGAATGTGTGTGTGTCTATATAATATATGTAACTGAATATGTTAGTATTTCGTTTTATAAAAATACTAAGAGAATGTACTCATGAGTATCCTCTGATGAGTATCGTCCTGTCAATCAGGACCTGAGCACTTTTCTGTGCATTGAATCTGCTAGTTAATTATGCATGCCTGGGCTAATCCGGTTAGCTATAAAAGAAGTTGTGTCTAAAAAGGACTAGGTACTCTGCCCTCAACTTGGATCGGATCCACCTGTGAAAAAAGAGGCTGAAGCAACAATAGACTCCGGCACGGCTTTTCTCCTAGGCGAAATTAAGACGCTAAACCTGGCCAGGTCCTAAGCACTGCACCAGGTTGGGTTGGGCCGGCCGAGAGGGTCCATTCTCTGTTCCCCTGCTGATTTTGCCTGGCGTTTTCTTCTTGTCGTCTTCTCTCTCCCCCCGTCCACGAGTGTTCTCCAGCACAGCGAGCTGAGCTGGCTCCCGTGCTTGCTTGTGTGCTTCTATCGACGAGACTCGAAGTGCACTGTGTGGTGCGTTCTCCTTCTCCAGACTCCAGCAGCGCGGTTCATAGAATTGAAGTCGTGTTGACGCTCAACAACCAACAAAATTTACCCCCACATGGCGATGTCACCTGGAGTTGATGCACGTCACCTCACTTTCAGCTTTCAGGAGTCCACGGGAGCATCGCATAGTGGCCATAGCTCGTCCAAGTCAATATATAGCTCCGTTTTTCACAGTGTCGTCGTCGTCGTCGTACCTACGGCTTCCGCTCTTCTTCGAGCGGCGCAGATACTGCTGCGCGTACCAGATCACGATCACACTAAACACGCCAGCTAGAGCGCACATCACCGAACGGAATCACGTCACTCCAGTCTGTCCCGTTGTCGTGCTCGGACGCACGCCCAACAAGAAGAAACCGGCCACAAAAATCGCCTGGTCCGATTGGTGATACGTCGCTCGGGCACGTACTTATGCCAGAGAGTACCGTAGGCAGCAACGCCCCCAAGCAGTGTGTGTACCCAAACGAAACCAACCGTCACCGGCCGTCGCGCCGCATGGCTCATCTCATCTCAGGTGAAAAGGGTAGGCGACGCGGGCACGCGGACGGATGGGCGTTTCGGCCGTGCGGCACGGCCCGGTGCGCGCGCGGGACAGTTCCGGCACTGTGGAGCTGGCACCAACCACCGCGCGTTGCCCCCGGATCGCCCTCCAAGACCCCAGACGTGGCGCGATCCGGCGGGCGGCGGCCCATGCCCATCCAGGCATCCACCATCGGGGGGGGCGTACGGCTGGGCTGGGCGGGACGCCGGAGTCAGACGAGGCCGAGCCCGACGGGAACGCGTGGCGTCTGGCGAGGCGCGCCCGCTCTGCTCCCGCTCCGCCGTTGCCCCCCGTCACGGGATTCGCCAACAGTTGCGTACGCCCCCGCCACGGGGTTCCGTCCCGTCGTCCCCTTGGCCCTTGCCTCGCTGTCCCGCACGTCCTCGCTCCCCGCTCCGCCTCTTCCTCGCCGACGCCAGGCCCCACGCCACGTCTCCCCACCTGTCAGTGAGGCTGCCACGCCCGGTGTGGGGCCTACCGTCTTCCGCAGGCGGCTCTCCTCCGCCTCCTACTTTAGCAGTACCCCGGCGCTAGCACAACACAACACCGCTCGTGTACTGCCGCTACTCTAATTAGTCTACTTGACCACTGCAGCTCGTGAGGGATTCGTTAGGGGTGGTGGACGGGTGGGAGCGTAGTAGAGAGCGTAGACAGACAGACAGGGACGCCGCGGCGTGTGGCATTGTTCGAGGGCCGGCAGCTGTGCGGTGGGAGAGGGAATGGACGAGGAGGAGCTGGCGATGGCGATGGCGGCGGCGAGCTCCGAGTGCAGCAGCGGCTGCCAGTCCGGCTGGACAACCTACCTCGACGACCACACTTCCTCCTACTCCTGCGGCACCGCGCGGTTCCATCACGGCAAGGCGCGGCAGCCGTACTACTGCGACTACTCGGAGGAGGACGACCTGTCTATGATCTCCGACGCCTCCTCCGGCCCGCGCCAGCAGAGCTCCGCCGGCAACGACGTCGAAGGTGGGGCCGCCGCGGTGCACGCCAATGCGGAGAGGAGAGGGAGGCGGAGGAGACGACCGCCGCGGCGAGGCGGCAGAGCAAGAGGGCCGCCGCCGCGTCCCTGCTTGAGGACACGGCCAGCTCGCCGGCCTTCTTTGGCTACTCTAAGGTAGGTAGCTAGGAGTACGTGGCGTGCACATGCGCTGCGCGTACGCATCGTGTTTCCAATCCGTCCCCCTGTCCTTCGTGATTAGTGACGACGCGTTTGCTTCTTAATTTGCAGGCGATGAACTCGGGGGAGGACAATGGCTATGGCGGCGCCGACGCCCGGATGACAGAGATCGGCAATGCCGCCGACTTCTCCTACGCCTTCTCCACCACGACGGGATTCAAGGTGCGCCACTCACTGCTCATGCCCGACATCAAGGTCTCGCTTACGGTGCCGACTAATTTGGCTCTGCATTTTCCTATTCTTGCAGGCTCCCTTAAATGGAGCTGCTTTGAGCGGCTACATGCAAATGCAGTACTCCCCGGCTCCCGTCAAGCCGATGCCCAGAAGACAGGTGAGTGAGTGAGCATTCCTTTCGGTTCCAGCGCGCTGCTCTGTTTCTTGTTCAGACAAACTGTCATATGTATAGCCACCATCCTTGCTGGATTTGTATATCTAAGCTTACCAAAAGAAAACATTTCTGCAGGTGTGCAGAGATGCGTCGGAGAAGAAGAGGTGGTGACTGCCGCGTGTTGATCCAAGGTGGTGACTGCCGATGCCGGTTGGAGTGAAGGATGTCCGTGGCTTGCTCGGCGGCTCTGTTCTGTCCCTGTCCCTGGAAGCCATAAGAGATGAGCAGGCAGGGAGGCAGGCTCGACGAGTGCGTTTGCAAATCTTCTCCTGTTCTCCAGATCTCCAAGAGATCTTCCCTTGCGTTGCGTCCATTAATCCCCACCTGCTTTGCCACATCTCTCTCCATGTCCCTTGTGTGTGTTTTCCACTGTGGCTCTCTGCGCCTGTTTGCGCTGTTGTTCCTCCCTATCTGCGCCTGTTAGTCTCCCACTTTTTAGCTGTCATTGCAGTGGGAAACAACAACCTGAGGCAAAACAAAACAAAACAAAAACAAAAACATGCGCGCCGACGTGAAATCCCTTTTGCACCTCGCGGCTTTTGTCACTGTGTGTTGTAGTATGTGCATGATCCTCTGATCCTCTCCCGGAAGTCAGTAGGAATAGCCTGCGCAGCGCTGTCCCTGTTTGGCGAACGTTGACGTCAACCGGCCGGCGGATCCGTGCCCGCGATCGATCGAACCATCTACTGCTCACACTTCTAGATATTTGCAACAGAAGATTCAGCGCACAACTCGCACCATGAATGCCGGCCAACCAACCAACGGGAGTGTCATTATCCGCGAAATGATCTTAGGACCAGCCTGGACCTCTAAAAGCCCCCGCGCACGGCGCCACTAAACAACAAGGCCTTCAGATTTCCTTCGTGCCACCATTTGTTTGGGTCTTCTTTATTAGTAGTCGGCATATATAGCGACCATTTTCTTTTTCTCCCCTAGGAAAAAAAATACTCATTGGTAGTACTCCCTAGCTAGTGGTAGTGGCCATGCGTGTCTTTTGTCGTGTGTGATCCTCCCAAACGGAAGCGGCACGGTTCGAGGACCCCAGACCCCAGCCAAGCTGGCAGAGGCGATCGAGGCTCCAGTGGTGGTGCGAAAGCAATGGCGACTTGGCGAAGGGGGAGCGTATCCGAGTAGTATGTGTGTGTGTGGCTCCGGGGCACTACGTACGTACTGCTCCAGCACAAGATCTCTCTGGCCAATTCTTTAAAGCGTCGGGGAGCCGCATGTGCGCGGCGAGTACTTGTGTCCGCGCGAGGTCCCGTGGCTCGGTGCACGGTTGCGGTAAGCTACAAACCGGCGACAGGCGCGGTGCTGCGTAACTGCGACCCCTGCGGCCCTGCCTGCCTGCCTGTGCGCACGGCGCTGCTCTCCAGCCTCCAGCGCGCCGCGCGGCATGCCCGGGGCTCCAGCCTCCGTTGGCCGTCGCCAGCGGCCAAGTGCGTGCTCGGCCTTCGGCCCGGCAGCTCGATCCGTGCGCCGGACGCCACCTGCCGCAACGCCCGGCACCGAGGCCGATCCGCCCCACGGCTCTCGAGCGAGCCTCGTCACCGGCCCGGCTCCGACCATTTGTTTGGCAAGACCGATCGATATTTTTACATCGAAACCGATGTACCCTCACGGGGCATGACACGGCGAGCCGACTTGAAAATTGCATTGCCTTTGCAGCCTTGCAGGAAGTGGTAAGCATCTTTCGTTACGCCCGCTACTACAGTTGAGAACATACTCCTGCTGCTCCGCTCCGCTGCTGTACTATACCCATACCACATCTGCCATCCTGTTGGTGTGGGAATATATTTACAGTTTCGCTATTAATACTTCCTCGGTCTCACAAAACATAAAAAATCTTTTTTTCAAGGCCATGTTAGTGAAGAAGTAAAATTACGCATGTGCCTTTACTGTCTCCTTCTCAACACACACCTGAAACTCAAAAGAACCATCTAGAATATTCAATGGAAGTGTAGAGTTAACATGATTTTTCAATTGCATGTGTATTTTTTATTGGTGGGTCCCACCATAAAGCTTATCTCCAACATAGATTTACATGTTTTTGGGACAACATTTAAACCACAGGATCATATTATTTTTGGGACGAAGGGAGTACTTTTTTTTTGCACATTTCCTACGTCTCAAACGCTTGAGATTAAGGAAAGCTTCAGGCGACGACGCCCGGGCTCCGCCCGCGCACGACGAGCTCGTGCTCCTCCCACGAGGCTCCTCCCTCTGTCCCATCCGGTGGCGGCGGCACCGGGGAGGTAGGCGGTTCCTCCTCCTCCTAGATCTGTAAGTTAAGGTTCTGGTGAGCTTCTCTCTCTCTCTCAACTTCGGCAAGCTTGTCCTCTCTCTCTCTCTCTCAACTCCGGAGAACTTAGAAAAAAGAAGGGGCCCCGGGAGGTAGGCAGTGGAGGCTACGGGGCCAGTTCGGGGCTGGGGAGTCGTGGTCGTTCACCAGAGGTGGAGAAGAAAACGGCGGCGGGTGGAAGGAGGGGAAGAGGGAGTCCGCCGCGGGCGCGGTAGGGTCTCACTGGAGCTCCGTTGCCGCGGCCGTGGCGGCGGAGCTCCGGCGAGACGCTACCGCGCCACGGCGGGGCGGCGGCGGCAGGAGCACGATGGAGTGGAAGCAGGATCCCAAGGAAGAAGACGAATAGGACACAATCAAATCTGGAGCATCCGTTTCCTATTCAAGGGCTGAGATTTGTCGCCTGAAAAAATAAAAAAACACAGGCGCCTGATATATGGCAAAACCCTTTTTTTGAAAGGTATAGCTGGCCGCAGAATAAGTTATTCTGTGGCCACTTTGAGTTACGATAATTACTATACTAATTTACGAGACTATGATAACTCCCTCATAAGTGATTTACTATAGCATTATGGTAAGTATCATATTGAATTATAGTAACCCATGTATCGTAAATGTGTATTGTCATTGGGCGCGTTCGGCTGGTCTGAAAATTTCAGACCAGCCGGCTGCTTCTCCTCACATGCTACAGTGCATCTTTCAGCCGCTACAGTATTTCTCTCTTATACAACCAGCCGCTATAGTGTTTTGGCTTCTTTTTTTCAGACAAGCGAACGAGGCCATTATCGTAAATTGGTACAAATATTGTCGTAAATCAAGGTGACCATAGAATAAGTTATTCTGTGGCCAGCTATAGAATAGCCTTACCCCACACACACACACACACACACACATATATATATATATATATATATATATGCGTTGTTCGGCTGGTATTAAAGCCGACTGATAAATCAGCTGAAGCTGTTTTGTTATAAGAGAAAAATACTATAGATTATAGCTGATAAACCGACCGATAAGTTCAAGCTAGCATGGCCTGCTTGGAGGAAACAATGAAGCGTGCCAGATGGTGCTTCGATCCTAGATAGGCAGCATGTCTACACTGTACAGTACGGATGTAGCTGAAACTCTGAACGCTGATCTCAGTCAAACTGCACGTACAGTAATATAAGAGGAGTTTCTGTGGTTTTGGTAATCCTGCTACTCTAGTGCTACTCCGGAACAGTAACCAGCAGTCACCGCTACCCCGTCAAACGGTGACTGGTCGTTGCTGTCGCTCACCTGTCATCTCGGGGCCGCCTTACTCCGCCAGCGCTGGCCGTGCCCGCGCTCAAGCGGCAGGACGCGCCGGAGGCAGCCCGACGCCCAGACCCTGCGCGCATGTGCCCACTAGTGGCTGGACAGTGCCGCTACGCTAATGCTACACCTACACCTACAGCTACAGAGAGGCCGCAGATTGCGTGCACGGTGCACGCATCGTACTGGTAGGAGGAGTATCTAGAAAAAAAACAATTTTCCTCCGTGAACTCAAAAATCAGGTATACCATCTCCCTCAACTTTTAAAAACATTTATTTTATCTCTCTGATCCAGCTATAGGTGGTTTTCAAAGGTGATTTTATTTTTTTATCTTTTTTTTATTTTGGCTAAATATTTGAAAAATCATAGTAAATCATAAAATGAAAATTTTAATTTTGTTGGACTCTGCATGAGTAGATCTACACAGTAAAACTATAATATGATATGCTTTAGTACAAAGTTTTTACTATCTATGATTTTTCTGTAATTAATTCATAGCTACTGTTTCTATGGTCAATTGTAGTGAAATTTTTACGGTGGTCTAACTATTGTATGCTTGAATTGTAGTAAAAATGGCATACTCGTTTCTATTTTTACACACTTTGAACTATTTTAAAACTATTTAACAAGCATATAAGTAAATAAATCTATAACTCCGTTATACATAATCCAATGAGCATGAAATTTTTACTACAGTTCAATAATATAATAATTAGCCCACCACAAAAATTTCACCATAATTGGACCATAAAAACCACAGCTTTGAATTAATTATAGAAAAGCATAGATCTAAAGTTACAGCAAAAACTTTGTACTAAAACATACCATATTATATATTCACTGTGTAGACCTACTCACGTGGAGTCCAAGAAAATTAGATTTTTTCCATTTTATGATTTTTCTATGATTTACTTTGATTTTTTAAAAATTTAGCCAATATAAATAAAAAAGAAAAGATAAAACCGTCTTTAAAAATCACCTATAATCGGGTTAGGGAGGTAAAATGAATGGTTTTAAAAGCTGAGGGAAGTGGTTTACTCGGTTTTAGAGTTTAGGAAGGAAAGCTAGACTTTGTGAATAATTCAGGGAGGTAAAATGGACTTTTTCCGAGTATTTATACGTCCTACACACATACTGCTGGGCCTGGGCGTTGAATTGCCTCATTGATACGATACGATACGATCCAGCGCGGCGTAGTATGCGGTATTCAAGTGAGATCGTGCTTGGCCATACATACCCAGACGCCGCGTCTAGCTAGCTCTCGCTGCCGCCGCCGTTCGCAGCAGGACGGCATCAGCCTATGATATGATGAGGAGTACTCCATTCATGCTGTATCTGGCAGCGATCGTTAATGCGTGAATGGAGCCGTTCTGCTCTGCGTAAAGGCATGCAATGCAACGCCTTTGTACATGTGGCCTCATACATGCACTGACCAAAGTGGCTGTGTGCTGTCTGCGTGGTATCCTAGTCCCACAGTAATAGATACGGGTACAACCCTAGGCCCCATCAGTAATAGAT